ATGCCGGATCGGTTTATGTATCGCCGAGTTGGGAGCAACGGAGCTCATACTATACTGGTGTTGTTCAAGCGCTCGAGGGCCCATGGCCGCTTACTCTCCGTTGACTTACAGACAGGTGCGTTGCATTAGCAGCAACGACTGCTGGGTCTCAACACTCCTCAAACCTCGGCCGGGGTGATTCAGTGCAGTAGTCATGCCAACACGGCTGATGACCCAGTGAGTCTACCTCCCTTCTAATATGCGAGTGTATGCAAATCCATGGGAAACCGAGGCTCTACTCATTGTCTAAGACCGTCTTCAATCGCTGTTCAAGTCTCTAATCACCCGCGGGACAGAGTATGACTGATGTGTTGCACGAGGCCTAGAAGGTTGACTCTGCTTGACTTGGACACTTAGAGGTCCTGACTGGACACATCACTCATGACCACAGGGAAAGACAGGAGTTGACTTGAATCGATACTTCGTAGTTATTATCTATATGCGTCTCATAACAAGATCAACGTGCCCAAAACTCAAAAGCCTGGTCCAAAGCTGGAAGCAAAACGCCCAACCTCCGGCCCATCAACCAAACACCCCGTCATCCATCACCAAGTAATAGAAACAGCCTTCCTCGCATACTCCCTCCCTCCATCCCTCAGCACGTTCTCGAAAATCCACCGCCCAACGTCCTCCCTCGAGATCCCGTACCCCACAGCGCTGCTCTCGACGCCGTTCTCCGGGTCCTCCACGCCCACGCGGATCGCCCGCTCCGGCACGGCGCCGTCGCTCAGGAACGCGGGCCGCACAAACGTGTAGTCCTCGCCGCTCGCCGCGACCCTCTGCTCCATGGCCTTCTTGTCGGCATGCGGCGCCCGCAGCAGGATGTGGTACATGGGCACCTGCAGCAGCGGCACGTCCCGCGCGTGCGCCGAGATGCCCGTCGTCGAGACCACGACCAGCCGCGGCTGCCCCTCGACTCCCCGCGCCCGGAGCGTTGCCAGCGCCGACAGCAGCGCCGCGGCGCCGTTCTTGCACACGTCCGGGTCCTCGACCGTCATCCGGGCGACGTGGAGCGGGCTGCCGATGCTGGAGCTCACGGCGTCGACGAGGCGCGCGGGGTCGGCCGGGCTGACGAGGCACGCGGCGACGTCGGCGGCGTTGTGCGCGTTGCCCTGCTTGACGACGAGGTTGGGGTGCTCGGCCGGGGGCAGGACGTCGGTGAGCTTGGAAGGGTTGCGGCACAGCGCGATGCAGGTCCGGCCGGCGGCGAGGGCGTGTTTGAGGGCCGCGAGGCCGCAGCCGCCGGAGGCGCCGAAGAAGGCGATGGTCTTGATCTCGGACATTTGTTTTTGGCGTTGTGGTGAGTTGTGAGAGTTGGCTCGTGGAGTCCGAGTGGGTGTGCGTGTAAGTGGCTTTTGGTGGTCAAGTTGATGCCAAGGTGGGATGCGATATAAGTAACTCTGATATGAGGGGGCAGTAAAACTTGAGTTGGAACTTTGTATCTCAATAGCACTTTGATGCCGATGATACCAACTCCCTCCCTACAGCAGCGGCCCGTCCAGTCTTATACGCACCATATCGGTCGTGTACGATGTCCATTCACCAACACCATGGCTCTAGCCCAGCATCAGCCTACTACTGACCGGTGGGCGACCTTCAAATTCACTCAGCAAACACGCACTCAAAAAACCCCGGGGAAAAAAAACCAATAAACCGAAAACACGAACGCACGAAATGCGGCCAACAAGTCTGTCCGACTCTTCAACAACGACTCCAGCGCCCATGTCGTTGATCGAAGAGACGTCCCTACCTCGTGGCTGGGAGGATCCGCACCCCCGCCACGCCACACCACCCATCCCTGTCATATCACGCAGCCAAGATAAAATGTTAGTGCACGATACACATCTGCAGGCGTCAACGTCGACTTCAAGCCAACTCGCTAACGATCCCCATCGTCCCACTCCGGCGCAGAATCCCCCCGACGGCGCAACCAACGACCAACTGTGGCTCAGCTCGCGCCTTTTCGCTCCAACTCGCCATGCACTTCGCTTCGCGAGAGCCCGCGTTTCGCTTTCATATCCAAAAGCCCCCCACCCCCGGGGTCACGATCGTCAAAGTCGAGCCGTTGCTTCAACATGATCAATCGCCGTCCCCCAGGCCGCTCGCACCGTACTGATACATTCACAACCGTGCTCAGATCGGAGGTTCATGGCCTTGGGCCCAATGCCCGTCTCATTTCCCATCGTCGCCAACGGACGTCTAGCGAATGTCCCACGACCCCGTCCGAGGGAGACCGGACGGGACGGCATCTGCCGTGCAAGTGCAATAACACGTCTGGACACTCATGGGTATAACGGACCGCTGCAATCATGATGCTGCAAGTCAGGACTTCTTGCCTTCGGATCGAGTCCCTGGCCCTCACTCATCTCACACATGGCTCACACGAGACAGACGTAGTCTCGCACACGACATTGAACTTCAACCACTGTTGATTCCGCATCTCTCCATATATACGAGCGCGGCTTTGAGCCCAAAGCTTACAAACGACCGCCTGCGAAATGCAATGTGGCGGCTCGACCCCTGGCCAAAGGAACGGACGGCAAGCGCCATTACCACCAAATGCCTCATGAAAAATGCTCCAGAAAAAATGCCCTCATTACATGCAAGGAGCCCGAATCGAAACCCAGTGAGTGCATCACGTTGTAACATTAAACCTTTTAAAATCAAAACCCAGACCCAGACCTCCTCTCTACAGCCAGAAGAGAGCAGAGGCGGCCACAAGTGCGGCAAAGGCACTAGCACCGAATGACGACTTACGGCAGACGCCGTCGCTCGTGTTGTTTGAGCCCGAGTTGCCGTTGCTGTTGCAGTCCTGCGAGAAGCCGCCGGCGCCACAAGCGGTGCTGCCGGACCCGGATCCGGAGCCCGAGCCTGAACCGGAATCGCCCGAGCCGGAACCCGACCCTGAGCCTGAGCCTGAGCCTGAGCCAGAGCCAGATCCAGAACCGGACGAGCTGCTGTCGTCGCTGTGGTCGTTGCCCGGTCCAGTGTTGCTACCGCCCGGGATGGTGGCGGCCGTTGCCGTGGGCTTCGCGGTGGTGCCGGAGGCCGTGGTGGCGCCGGCGTTCATGTCGAGGCCGGAGCCGAGGAAGCTCTTCAGGATGGTGTCCTTGTCACTGTCCACAACGGTGTCGTTGGTGGACCTGATGTCGTTGTAGTAGTAGCTCTTCTTGCTGTTGGTGCCAGGGGGGTCTTGGCGTTCCAGCAGCTGATCTCGACGTCCTTGACCATGGCGTAGTAGTACCCGGCGTTCTTGATATCCTCCGAGTCCCATTTGATGGGGCCGCCGGCCCAGTCGATGGTTCCCTTGGCGTTGGTGTCGGCACCACCGGGCCAGATGGACAGCTGGACACGGGCGGGCGTCTGCGGGTAGTCCCACTGCTGGGCGGTGGCGTTCCACGTATCAGCGCGCTTCTTGGTGCGGCCAACCTGGCCATCTACCATCCACTGAATCTCGTCGGGAGTCCACGAGATCTCGTACGTGTGCCAGTTGGCAAACGTGTCGGAGAGGGAGATGTTGCCAGACTGGTCGTCTGTTATGAGTGGTCAGCACGGCATCGCATGGTTCGGGGGGGCGGGTTCGGCTTACATCTAGGGATACCCTGGAAGTAGTAGTTGGTCTGGGACATCTCGAGGTCGGCACCGACCCACTCGTAGTCGATTTCATCCTTGACGTCTCCGTACAGGATGAAGGCGGTCACGACACCCGGACCACGCGAGGTCCTGATCTTGGCCTTGACGCTGCCGTACCACAGATATGTGGTCGAGGCGAGGACAGTTCCGACACTCTTAGCAGGCATGGTCAAGAGCACGGCCTCGTTCTTATATAGCGCGGGCTCGCCCTGAGCGACCCAGTCGGCCTTGCTCGGGTCACCGAGATACTTGCTGATGTCGACAATCTTGTCGAGCGAGGTCATGGGCATCTTCTTGTCCTGGCAGACGGGGGCGGGCACGCAGGCGTCGAGGGAGAAGGACATGCGAGGGTCGCAGCCGCCGAGGCAGAAGGCGCCGGTTCCGCATTGGCCATATTCTGCCTGAGTTAGAAGGTGGTATAACGAGGTTCAGGCCGATGCCGACTTACGGGAACAGCAGGGCGCATCCTCGGGACACTTGTTGGTCAGGGAGCAGGAGGGAGGGGTCTGGGCGAGGACGGTCGAGGCGCCGAGGAGGGCAACGCCCAAGGAGAGAACCGGCAACATTATGGTGACCGGGCGTAAGTGATGACGATGGTTGGATTACGGGATTACGACGGGAGGAGAACGAATGGAGTCGGAACCAGGAGGTCCTTTGAAGAGATGATGTGGTGCGAGTTGTTTTGTGCAAAGACCCCTGGAGGGTTTGGACTCGACTCGACTCTCGCCGCCCGCGGGTGACGGTGGGATGTGGTGTGTTTACGGCCGCGGTGGGGAGGAATTCGAGTGTCTGATGACTTGCGTCTCGGCCGGCACGAATGTACCCGGGATTTGTGTTATTGCGCGTTGAATGCTGGACCTGACGTTCGAAGTCGAAGTCGAGATGTGTGTGGTGAAATAGACTTTCGTGGATGCTCTGGGGATCCCGGCTTCGTGGACTGGCTCGAGTCGACTTGGGACGACGGACGCAAGGGCGTTGAAATTGGGTTCGTCTGGACGCGCGAGAAAAAGACCGTCTTGGAGGAGGAGGCCGAGGAGAAGTTGGTGTGACAACGAGAGTATTAAGCGATAGTAGGTAGCAGCAAGGAAGCAACAAGGCAGTGCAGTGCAGGCCGGGAACGAGTGACGACCGCGTGAGGAGGAAAAGGGTTGGCGATTTGTGGCTCGAGGAGGGAAGAAGCCAAGGCCACGAGAATTAATTTGGGATGGGAAGGGATGAGGACGACGGGAGGAGTGGGAATGCGCGGGAAGTCAATCAGGCAAGCTTCTCTTCGCCCTTCTTCGACCAGGCACACACACACGCACACAGTACATAAGGTAAGGTGGTAGTGTATGTACCATCGTACTCTGATTTTACGCTTACTTGGAGTCGAGTCGGGATGCTGTGCCGTAACCTACCTACCTCCCTGTACCCCAAGAGAGCCGGGCGAACAACTTCCTGTCCATCTGGTGCGCTAAATGGCACGGCCACAGCACCATCAGCATCTCAGGCAGCTAAGGTACCGGTACGTAGCCATTCCGTGTCCTCGTCCTCGTCCTCGTCCTCGTCCTTCGCATCCCTCGCTGTGCTTGCTTGCTTCCTTCCCTCCATCGCCGTGCCCCCTTTTCTTTCCTGCCCGTGTGTTTGGCCCCCCCCTTGGCTTCTTCAGTCATGCATCCCTCCCACCCTGCCCCAGCGTGGTTCCAGTTCCCCTCTCAGGGTCTGGCACGCAAGGGAGAGGGAAGAGAAGAGAAGAAATGGAGAGGTCATTCTCCCGGCTTCTCCTCTTCTTCTCTCGAAAGCAACCTATCCGAGGCGCATCAATGGGACCGCGGCGCCACTCTTCATTCCCCCATCGGGCCAAGCGCGCTCGATTTAGGTAGCCAGAGCCGGTTCAGGCCTGCCCCTGCGCCCCTGTGCCCCCTGTCCTGCCATGCTCGTGGTAGCAAATACGGGGAAGAATTAAGAACAAAGTGCACCTCGCTCCAGTGCCAGCGTCGCCAATCTTCTCGTACCAAATGAGGTGGCTGCGGGTCCTCGTCACTCATTGGCCTTTGACGGACCCACCCGCCCCAAGGTCGCCCCCAGATCATGATTTTCGCGAGGTCGCCTAACCCGTTTCGGGACTAGCCCCCGAACACAACCAGAACGATCACCCGAGTTTCCGCCCCCTGGCCTCGTTCGCTCGTCCAAGTTCCTTGCTGCCGTCCACTTTTTCAATTCGATAGAGTCTCTGTCTGCAGTGATTTTCGCCCCGGGTGCTCTGTGCTTCCCGGTGCACGGGGCACTGCCAGTTCGGCAACATTTCTTCTCCCAACGTTGCCTGCTGTGACAGTCGACCGCCTGCAGGGCAGGGCAGAGCACGGCGGCGACTGACATGTTCACCATGCGTGTGCCGACAATGTGTCACTGCATCGTTCCCACAACCGTTGTGCGAGACATGCGTCTACAGGCGTCTTGCAGTATCGAGGCTGGATTGACAGGTGCTGTGGCAGCCAGGCTGCCGATGGCCTCACCAACCCATGTCCCCGTTTATTTAGTTAATGGGGCTTCGAACCGCCGAAGACGCCAAAATTGACTGTCACGTCAACCAACCCTCACTATCACTAGCCGGCGTCTACAGGTACCGTATCCTGTTCTTGCCACCGCTAGAACGACGTTTGTTGCCCTTTTTTTTTTGTTTACCACCCAGGTACAGTACATCACATTCCTGCTAGCTTCTCCGCCACAAACAGCACGCCGTGCTATCCGGGAAATAAACAACAACAGACACCTCGAAACACACGTTGAATGCGGGGTCACCCAATCGCCTCACACGACCGCAACGCACACCGTTGGAGACTGGCATACAGGTACCTACAGCGCCTCGCCGCTGCAAACTGTCGTGGCCGGTTGGACAGCCTTTGACCCCCGCGAGATCGCGCCCACCGCATCCCCTCCGCCTAACCAGCCGAACCCGCCGAGTCTTGTCTTGTGTGTCTTGTGTAACGTGAATGACGGCCCTGCCGCACAATACCGATGTAGACCATTGCACACCACGGTGGTCAGGGAAGCTGGCAGCGGGAGTTGGGTTGGCCGTCGCAACCTCCCAAACTTGCATGCGGCTCTAAATAGAGGCTTGGCATCTGCTCAGTCTTCCACGCAACTTTAAACGTTACAGGCAATAATCAAACATACCAACCATCAACCCGGTCCAATTTCGTTCTATTAAAAAAGACATGTTACACATTCGTCCGAACGCCCTGCTCCTGCACTCACATTACCATGCACCGCTTTCCGACACTCTTGCACTCCGCACCCACGTGATGGCCGTGTAACTCTCCATGTTCTCAACCGAGCCGCAACCCGGAGCCTCACCTCTCCACAATGGGGATTCCCTCTGCAACAGCTACAGAGATACCATGCTCTTCATCACCCACCGGCCGGGTCAGAGCCCGTCATCCACTGAGAAACTTAGCTGGCGGCGTCGCCTCCTGCACGCCCTCGTCGAGTTGCGGTTCCAGGAGAACGAGGAGGCGTCCAGGCTACGGTTCGAGCCGTCCATACCAGAGTTCGAGGTCAGGCAGGCTGTTCCCAGTACGCGCTCCTGCACGGCGCCGTCCCAACTGTTTGCCGACGCAGCTAAGAGCCCCGTGCTCCGTTGATGGCTTCCGGGTCTCTCGGCTCATGGCACCCATAAACTCGCCGCTCGCACATCTGATTCCTAGGTGGCCGAGTTTGTGGGATACTTTACAGCCTATTGATATTAGCTATCTTTAGAATTTCTGTCCTTTACTTACGGTTTGCTCAGGTATACAAATAGTTACAGTTACAGGTGCAACTTTAGCATTTGAAACATACAATGCGTGACGTAAATAATGAATGATTGGCACGTTACTTACATGGCAACACAGCTTGTGCTTTCTCTTTCTCAGTGTTCTTAAAAAGCATGAAAGAGGTATGTACTTTGGTTCATATAGAGCTCCAGAAACATTAGTTTGGGTTCTAGGTAGCGTAATACTTATAACTGTGATGGCTATAGGATGTGTTTTGCCTCACGGACAGATTCATCAAGATGGGCTACAGATGAAAGGGTCCGAAGCCATAGATGTCTTTCCTCGTCGCTGCCTCTCGCAGTGTGACTCGGGCCACGCCTGCGTTCAGCTCCCGGCGGAGGACCTCTTCCTGTCAGCCCCCATCCCCGACCCCCGCGGCGGCGGGACGGTCGACGTCGGATGGTCCCGGACGACCGCGGCCTCCTCGACTCGTCGGCCATGGTCGAGCTGGAAGGCCGGAATCCAAATACAGCCAAGGAATACAAGCCGCTCCACCCCGGCGGCTGGACCTTCCAGGAGGCCGAGCTTTCGAGGAGAGCCGTCTTCGCCTCCATCTTCCAGCCCTACCGGGTCCGTCGACCGACCCGTGCGCCAGCGGCCGCATCACGGATATCCCCTCCTGGTCGCGGCTGTCGTTCGACGGCAGCGGCCGCTTCGAGACGGTCTGGCACGCCTTCCCCCGCGGCATGATCCACCGCGTCGAGATCGCGCATAGGCCGGCGGCGGACGCCTTCGACCGGACGACGGGATCGTTGCTCCACCCTCCCGGCGTGGTCAAGAGAGTCACCGTGGCCGCGCTCAAAGACGGAGAATACCGGAGGGACAGGCCTAAGGACACGTTCCGCTACGACCCCGGTGGCGCGCCCAAGGCCCGGCGGGCTGTTACGGGGGGAATACATAGGTATATATATTATATACATACATATATATGCTGGTACTTTAGTGACAGTTATGATGTAGAATAATGGCCCCGTGGGCAGCGGCTTCCGGACAGGCAATGGTACCATTGCGTCGTCACCAGCTTCCTCCTAGACCTTGTCCATGCCATTGATATCTCCCAGAAGCAAGGAGAAGCAGCCTGACTGCTCCACTTCGGAAACCTAGATAGACATACATACACACACACACACACACACACACACACACACACACACACATGTACATATATACACATATGAAAAATATGTAAAAACATCCGAGCATCACGTCAACAGCCGTGGCACAGCTTTGAATGACCACGACAAGTTGCTGCACAGAGCCTCAAATGCCAGCAACAGTTTCAAGTTTACAGCAACCACATCAACAGTCTCCATGTCAAGCAAGCATGTCAATTACACACGCCCCATCATACACATCCGCCGCAGACCAAGTCTTTCCTGGACCTGATAGTAAAAACACGATTCTTCACACTAAGGGTATAGACTCATAATGAATCGAACAATTTCACCGTCCAGAATCCCACCACCCCTATCCTTCCATGACACCGGCCGTACCGAACAAGTCTTTTGTCTGCCCCGAGCATCCGCCACCGTCCTCGCTCGACAGCCACCCACGCACATCATTACATCCTCCTCAGCTCTGGGGGTAAGCGTAGAGGAGGGAGGGGGGCCTCCCTCGTAAGCCCACACATTTCACCAACCACCACGGAGATGAAGCCCTCCCGCATACATGCGCATGCGCAGACCACACCTCGAACGGGTATGACAATCACCCGCCGTCACTCAACGTCCTTTTCGTGTTGCGCTATAAATTTCAGAGCACATTGATAAAAGCCGTGGCGACCCCCACCGAGAACATCCACGTACAAGATAGCCAATGCTCCCAAGCGGGCCGCCGCCTTCCCCCACTATCGGCCGGAGCCAGGAGTATCGAGCCAGTCTGCCCATGCCGGCGAGAGAGGAACAGGACACAATGGTCAAATGAGAATTAAAAGCCCGGCCTCCAAAGAAAAAACAATAATGGTGAAAAAAAAAAAAGTAAAACAAAGTGCAGAGGGGGAATCGTCTTTTCGAGTCCGGGTCGTTGAGATCGTCAGAACGAGAAAGAAGAAACACATTTGGTATAAACCCAACGCATTGAGACACTCCCAGCGCCGTTTCGCAGTGTTGCCCATCTCCCGGGTATCCTCAGAACCGCCGAGAAGCTGAGAGATCCTCTACCGGTTGGTCGGCTTGGCGTAGAGGTCTACGAATTATTTAGTATCGTTGATGTGGATGCGGCCGTGCCGACGCGATGTTGAGAGAGGGCATACCGGGAAAGTGCTCCTTGGCGTACTGTTCGCAAGCCTTGGCAGGCTTGCCGACCTTTTGCCCGATGACCTTCCACTTGTTGTTTTCGTACTCCTTGATGGCGTTGAGGAGGGCTTGGCTCTGCAAACTGTTAGCGGTACGTCGCGGTGGCAGCGTCCAGGGGTCCACAACGAACCTCGTCTTCCGCGAACTCGGCGTAGTGCATGTCCTTGTACCAATGCTTCTTCACACTGCCCTCAGTACGAGTAGGGAAGGTCTACAACATGTTAGTTGCTGCTGATAACCAGAAAGAGTGGTGACACTGGGGACAATACGAACCTTGGCAATCTCAGCCCAGCTGCTGCCGGCATCTCTCATCTGCTTCAGGCGGAGCTCCTCGGCCGGGGTCCAGGGAGTATTTGTGCGGCTCTTCTTGGCCGGAGGAGGTTGAGGAGCTGCAGCAGCATCTTCCGTCGCCGCCGGCTGGGCCTGAGCGGGAGGGGCAGCGACAGGAGGGGCAACCGGTGGCGGGATGGGGGTCGCGGTAGGTGCGGCAGGGGCAGCCGGCATGGGAGGGGCGCTGGTGACGACCGGCGGGGCCTGTTGAGCCGGAGCCGGAGCCGGACGCTTGCGGTTCCTCTGGGGGGGCGGGGGCTGCGGTGCATGCTGCGGCTGCTGTGCGTGCTGCTGCTGCTGCGCGTGCTGTGCGTGCTGCTGCTGGACGTGCTGCTGTTGCTGCTGGTGATGCTGCTGGTGCTGATGAGGCTGGGGTTGGGCCTGAGGCGCCTGAGGCGGCGGCTGCGGCACGGTCATCGGAGGCTGCACCGGAGTGGGCTGGTGGTGCTGAGGGGCCGGGCTCTGGTGAGGCGGCGCTCCATACTGGAACTGCGGGTGCTGGTCCCGGCGAGACATGTCCTGCTGGTAGGGGTGTTGAGGACTGGGATGGAGTGTCAGTAAAGTTTCATTGCAACGGGATCAACATCGTGGATGAGTATGGGTTGTGACGTGACGTGACGTGACGCGCTCCTCCCCATGCCTCGGCGCAAACATGACCGCCAGGCGAGAGTGAGCATGCACCATCGCTGGCGGTTTAGGGGCAAGGTGTTTTTTGTTGTTGTTGTTGTTCGTTACACCCTCCATTACACCGTCGAGCAGGGCCAAGCGTGACCGGGGATTGCTCGAGGGAAAGACATGCCGAGGGTACATGAGCATGTACTTCCGGAAACCCGTCGAGTGTGTAGCCCCGGTACGCAGCTTCACGGGGCGGAGGAGGAGGCGGATGGAATAGGAAGGGGGGGGATGGGATGAGAAAAAGGGAGTGACCTTGGGCCTCTCGGGGCCAGAGGTAGAGGTCGAGGGGTACAAGGTGGAGGAGGTACTTACTGCATGTCGCTAGGCTGGTGGGTGGAGTTGGAGTAGATGTACTCCGGCACGGGGCCGACTTGCCACTGCTGCATGTTCTAACAATGGGCCAAACCGTTAGTACCGCGTGTGAATGTTTCGCAACCAGAGGAAACAAATGTGTCGCGCAAGAGTCATGGGGGGGGGGGGGGCAGGGCAAGACGGCGGGTCCGTGACGCGCGAACGCGACACGGGCGCTTGCGATGGGGGGTACATGATGTCGTGACTTGGGGACAAACGATGGTGTTTGGTAGTGGTGGTGGTGGTGATGAGGGAAGAACAAGAGGTTCATCAGTCGGGTGGTGATGGAGACGTGATGAGGACCGACGTGATTGAGAGGGGGGGACAGGAAGTAGAGGCGTGATGCGCCCATTGGAAGAGTGAGGCGACGAAGTGTCTGCTCTCGACGCGACGAGGTGAGGGTGAAGAGAAAAAAATTCGACCAGGAGCCGGGGAAAAAAGGGAAGAGACGCGACAACATCAGCGCCGACGAGTGTCGATACATGGCGCGCGACGATTCAATCGTCGAGGTACATGCGATGAGTCGCTCCTCAATCGGGACAACGGGTGAAAAGAGACCTAGGAGATTGGGTGCAGGTACTTACGGGCAATGTAGTAGTATTAACTCAACAACGATGCATAAACCGATGGGTAGATGGATGGGGAATAATGGTCTCTGCTGTCTCTCGGGGGTGGAAGAGAGACTTGGACCAAGCCTGACGTCGCAAGAGCAGGAAGCGGGTCACGCACACACGCCCGGGGTTGGGAAGGGCTTTTTTTTCCTTCCTTTCTTCCTCCTCTGGGGTGGGAAGGGGAGGGGGGCGGGATTGGGAGGAGGGGGGGGGGGGGGGGGAGATGGCCGGTGAGATGGTTGGGGGGAGGTAATGTAAGGTAGAGTCGAGATAAAAGGGACAAAGATACAAGGCGCGCGAGGCCGAGGACGTGTTTGCTTCAAGTACTCTTTTTTCTGGGGTTTGT